AAGTGTGCTTCCAGTTCAGTGGTTTTTCCTTTGATACAGTTCCAAGTATGATTAATTCCTTTGTAATTATCAGTCCCTTCAATGCCATGTCTTTGCTGTTAAGGTTCTTACATTTCTGTTTCAACAATCTGTCTTCACATTAGACATAAAGGTCTCTACACATGTCTCTAAATAAAGTTGCTGCAAATACCATAAGAACAACTATTGCATATTATCATCAAAGAACTAAAGACACTCATCTATTAAAAACATAAGGGAAGGAAAAATAAGTATCTTGAAAAGAAGGCAAAGCACATGCTTTCAACAATCTAATTGAATATGGAATTCTATGTGAGTGCTAAAAGCATAGCTGTATTTTTAGCAATTGGTAAGTTAATTATGGATGTTCTTTAAATCAGAATAGACCATGTTATGCCACAATGATGAACAATTCCAATAAGGAACAATTCTAAAGTTCCTCATGCTTTTACTTGAAACAGTCCATCATTAAAAACCAAATCATCACTCCAGCTTCAAAACCATGAGTGGAAAGGGAGAAAGGTACAGTGTCTATCCTAAGCTACAAGATAAACCACAAAGGATTGCCTGGATTATATAGTTCCAGACTGTATTAAAATAAACTTTTAATGCCCTCCCTCCTGATCTTAATGTGTCTGGAGTGATATATTGTTTCTGATTTAATAAAGCTTGTCTTGGGATCATAACACAAAGCTAGCTACATTGGTTAGCCATAGATGTCAGTTAGTGGTGGCACACCCCTTTAATCTCAAGACTCAGGAGGCAGATGGGTCTCTGTGAGCCCAAGACTACCCTGAGCTATATGAGAGTGAATCAGTCTAAAAGATGAGCAGAGCTCACGCCTTTATTCTGACACTAGAATTATATGAGATAGGAGCAAGGCATTCAGTATTCAGTATTCTGACATTCCTTTTCTAATCAAGCTGTAGATTCATGGAGACAGGGTCACCCTTGCAATCTGAGGTAGAGGTAAGAGCTAGTGGCTGGGCGCTTTGCTTTTCTAATCTTCACTTTAAATCCCAATGCCTGTCTCTGGGTTTTTATTATTTGTGCTACATGGATCCTTATATAAAGTGGGTCACGATCACCTAAAATCATTTTCTCTTAGGTAAATGTATATGAAAGTCACAATTTGATTCAGTTTTTCTATGTACTCAGCTGGGAAGTTGTTCATCTTATCACCTGCTTATATCACAGTAATTATAATTGCCATATTTATGTCAAGCAAGCATCTCTGCAATCAATAATAATAATAATCTCTTAACACATATGCTCATTATTCCATTTTTGAATAAGAAAACTCCAATGGGCAAACAATTTATTTGAAGGCACACATAAGTAAGAGTCCATTAAGTTTTCTTTATAATTTTCATTATCTGTGGTTTCCTTCATTCAATTGATGACTCATTGCTGTCAATAACATCATGATCGTGATGCGATCTTCAGCTCAAAAATGGCCACATCCAAATTGCAAATAAAACAATTAATTTTTTTTCTCCAGGAGCCTCAACATGCATTATAGGTTGGTTAACTTTAACTGGGTGTGTCCTTATGAACTCCTGAGGAGTTGTATGTCACCTTGAGACAGAACTTGATTTCCATATACTCAGTTTCCAAAACCTGATTCTCTCAGATCAACACCGAATTTGTAGCAAGTTTGGTATCTGAAAAACCTCTACTGCATCAGTTTTGTCTTTACTTCATTACTTCCTCTCTGTGTCACCACCCTCGTGTGTGTGAGTGTGTGTGTGTGTGTGTGTGTGTGTGTGTGTGTGTGTGAAAGAGAGAGAGAGATGTATAGATGTGTATCCTCTTTCAGAATATAGTGATTTTAGAGAAAATGCAATACTTATAATGGAAATGATACTATTTAACAAGTATTCTTAAAAAGCGCTATAGGTCAATGATAATTATCAACTGTAACACCAAATAAAAATTACATATCGATTATATATTATTGCACCGAATCCTCACAGATAACCACAAATAAAATACTGCATTTGACTCCATTTTAAATACATAGCTATTATGTTTCAAAGCATTTGGTATTTACCTGTGCAACACAGATGGAATCCAGCAGACCTGAATATTGAAATCTTTTTTTTTTCAAAGCAATTACATATAAAACTCTCCAGAATGCTTACTATAGAAGACTATGGATTGCACAGAAGTGGTTGGTGACCTAGTGACCTGCTGCCAAGCATGTTATTTTTCTTCACTATCTAAGGACGTTTTTATTTTCATTTTTTCCGTGACTTTTGTATATCTGTGTGTATGACATAAAAATAATGACAATAATTCCATTAGTTTATTTAATGAGTAGAATTCCCTAAACTAGAACAATAGAAAATTAGAAAGAAAAATAATGTTTAACTAACATATGCATTGAAGTTTCCTAATGTGTATTATCTGTTCCGTCTGCTGCGCATCCCTGCAATGTATAAGCTATTAACTGGGGGTTTATTTGAGAACATACTGAAGTACTAAGAACGTAATTGTCTAAGGTTAACCACTAATATAGCAATGCTACACAATAATAGAACCCCAGCTCGCTAAGCACAGCCCTGGCTGCACGTCCCACAGTGGTTAGCTCTTAATAACGCCGCTTCAGGTTGCATGTTCTCCTTGCTTCTCTGAAAGTTGAACTCTTTCCATCCGTTTGTGTCTCTTGCTTTCAGCTCTGACTTTTCTCATCTGCCCTTGAGCTTCTGAAGATGTCAATGATAAGTCAAAGCAACAATGTAAAGTTTCTAGGTCATCATCATTCTAGGGCAATGCTGGTAAATGTGAGCATTGCTGCACACGGCATCTACAGCTCAATTTCTATGCAAGGATGGGTTTGTTTGTGTGTGCTTTGGCTAGTTAAGTCATGGGATGGTTCTTTTATCTGACAGTAACGTGGATTGGAACATAGTTAAAGAAAGAAAGGATGCAATTTCCCATGACCTGAAGATGACAAGGCACCCACCATTCTCTCCTTTAAAGGCTGCTTAGTGTGAATTTAGTTTTCTTTGCTCTGTGTTTACCCTAAAGGATTTTAACCTTTAGGGGGGAATGGGAAAGAGTTCCATAACTCCTTTTTAATGAGTTGAAAAGTCTTCACTGGCTCATTAAAGGCAGCGTTTTTCTGACTCTGGGATGATATACTACTTTTGGCAGATAGCTAAGGAAGTTTATCCCTTGCACCTTATCGTTGCCTGAATACAAAACACCAACTCTACAGACCTGGAAAGACTATTGGTTACATTTTATATCTTCTTATAGAGTTTTCATTTTCTCTGACTGCTGCAGCAAATTAACACACTCTTTGCAGCTTAAAATAGTAGAAATGTATTCATTTCAGGTCTGGAGGTGAGACAGGGAAAGAATAGAGGAGAATAAGAAAAGATATACCATAATAGAGGGAGCCATTATAGATTTAAAAAGAAATCTGGCACTAGGGAAATGCCCAGAGATCTACAAGGATGACCCCAACTAACAATCTAAGCAATAGTGGAGAATCTACCTTTAATTCCCTTCCACAATAATGAGATCGTTGAATAATCAGCTGAACTGAACAAGGGGGGGGGGAACTCACGCACCCCAGTCTGAAAGCTGGGAAACCAGTGTAAGACCGACCCAGACCTCCTGAATGTGGTTGTTAATTAGGAGGTCTGGGCAGTCTATGGGGCCTCTAGTAATGGGTCAGTATTTATCCCTAGTATAGGAATGGACTTTGGGAGCCCATTCCACATAGCAGGATACTCTCTCAGCCTAGACACATGGGGGAAGGTCTAGGCCCTGTCCTAAACGTTGACAGAATTTGAAGACTCCCCATGGAAGGCTTCACCCTCCCTGGGTGAAGGGATGGTGGGGGTGATATGGGATGGTGAGGGAAAAGGGATTGACATGTAAAACAACCTTGTTTCAAATTTAAATAAAAAAGGGGGCAAAAAAAGAAAGAAAAATAGAGCAATCTTGTCCTATAAAAATAAGTCTAAAATCAAGGTGTCAGCAGGACTGCTTCCCTATAAGGGTCTAGTGGAAGATCCGCCCACCTGTTCCACCATGTTCCACCATGTTGTTGGCATTGCTTTGTTTGGAGCCAAGGCATTCCACGCTCTTTCTATGGTCACTTCGAACCACATTTCTCTCTCTCTCTCTTTATCTCTCTTCTCTCTGTATCGTGTGTGTGTGTGTGTGTGTGTGTGTGTGTGTGTGTGTGTGCTTCAGGGCTCTCTTCCTCTGATAAAGAAGACTGTGACCACACCCGGCTTGTCCAAATGAATCTGACTGAAAAATGATTTTATACACATCTGTGATTACCCTTTTAATGCATCAGGAGGTAATCACAGGTTCCCAGGGTTTAGATGTAGGCACTTTGGCGTGGATAGGTAATGAATAGCAATCAGTCCTTTATATAGAGTAAATGGTAAACATAGGGAAATTGGTTACAGGAGTGACACTTTCAGGAGTAAAGTTATATGTATGGTTTTCTAAAATTTCCAGAGGGCAGTGTCATATAAATGACAATAGTCTTTATTGGGGAAGGGTTGCCCATTTTATGACTCTGATGTCTGCTCATCATCTTCCAAACATGCAGACCGAAAGAGCAAACAATTTTGCAAAGGCAACACCTCCATGAAATAGTGAAGAGAACAAAGACAGGGAGCATTGAATGTACAAATATGATGTTCTGAGATGGAGAGAAGGTACCAAAGGTAACAAGTTGAGCAAACACTGCTTTTGGGAGTGTTCCACTCTTCGTGCTACCTTATGCAAATAAATTTAGGCATATTATCACGTCCCAGGCTTTGAGTACTTCTTATGTTGCATGGTGCGCTATGTTGTATTTCTGAACTTCCCCCTTTATGAATAATACCTATCCAAAATACTCCTTTATTCAGTGCCAGCACAGAGATGGAGTACGTTGTGAAGACGGCATATTTGTAGGCTCATTCTTCTCCCATGAGCCTGTTACAAAGAAGCCTGAAGAGGGACCAGTGCTCATCCCAGCAGCGCACAGACTAAAACTGAAATGATGCACGGACGGTTAGCATGGCCCCTGCACAAGATAACACACACATCCTGCAAAGCCCACACTGTGTGTGTGTGAGCAATTTAAAACATGAGGGAGCTTGAACTTGAGAAACAGCAAGAGGTATGCGTGGGAGGGGTTGGAGGGAAGAAAGGGAAAAGTAAAAATGGTATAATTTTAAGTTATACAATAAAATGTTGATAAAGTCTTAAAAATAATGTGAAATACTGAAAGTAGTAAAAGAATGATGGAGGAAGAGAAGAGCATAAGGCCCCACCAACATCTGGACATCGCACCAGGGCTCAGCTGCTGAGGGAGGTTAAGCACCAGCTGACTAATAGGTCTAATCCCTTCTATTTTTCCTACTCTGGGGCTGAAATTACCTGTACAATATCCTAGAGTTTTCCATAGCCAACAAATGAGAGTCTTCTCAGCTGAAAGAAGTCCTAACACGGAACACAATGCATTGAAGGAGGGCTGTTCATTGCCGTGTTCTATAACAAACACCCCTCATAAGAATGGTTAGAGAGTGTGTCTAGGCTTCCATTGAAGTGCAAGTTAAAGAACCTAGATGACAGGCATAAAATTGTGGCAAATGCATCCTGGATACATAAGAGGACAGTGCCTTTTAACACCTGTCCCTCTAACTCAACTTCCCTGAAGTTAGCATTACCCTTAGACTAAATGCAGAAGCATTGTTAACACACGTGTTACTCTTTTTAATTTAGTGGAGATTGTAAGTCTGAAATATAGTTTCTATTTTTGAGGATGAAAAAAAATGTCAGTTCTTAAATTTAAAATCTTAAAGATTCCTTTAGCCTCACCTTGAAGGAATGGAAGACACTATTTACTGTGTGCAGTGCTTATAGCAATCATACAGATTATTCAAATGAAGTGCTTCAACATGGCCATTCCAGTTTGTTGCCACAGACCTAACCGAAAATAACTTCAGTCTAGGGATACACTAAAAGCAATGTTCAAAAGACAACAAGTAAAAGACAAGTAAATCCCATTTGCTGGAAAATGTTCTATGTCTGAGTGCATTGAGCTTTTACAGCATGGGCAAAGGGCACATGTTGCATAATCTTATTCAATTAAGAAACTACAATATTGACAAACTGGATTTCTTTGATAGTACATGGGGTAGAAACTGTTTAAGAAGGGGATTTTGTGGAAACTTCAGTTGCTTAGCAACCCCTGACCCGTGGGGACTAGTTCATTTTTAGTCTGGAATAATAGGTCACCAAATGCCATCAGGATTACTGTGAGCCTCACATAAGGAATTCTCCAAACACATCAGGAGAGAAGTTGTCATCAGGGTCTGGCCTAACACCGGGATGTACATAACACATATTTGGGGGCAAATGATTCATTTAATACATAGCACTCTTTTGTTTTCAAGTGACAGTGTTGTGACAGCCAAAGCAACCACCTTTAAAGAATGTGTGATCAAATCCTGCAGCATTTTTTTCAGAGTCAAAGGGTAGAAAAATATAGGTCCTTGCTTTATTGAAACCTTGTTAACCTTTTAATAACCGTGCTGTAGAATCCCGTGGAGACACAAACTCTTGTTAATCACCTATTGGCATATGAGAGTTTGCCTATTAACACTGGAATCACTATTCACCGAAGCTGCAGTCTACAGAAGTTGACCAATGGGTGATAGTCAGAGTAGTGATTACAGGTACTTTGAAGACGCAAAACAAACTTATTTTTGTGTGAGCCTGAAGACACTAGCAGCTGTGGCTAAACAATGCAATAATGAGGTGTTATGCCTTGCTGTGACAGACTAAGAGAACGGAGAGACTCTGGGGATGTTCCTTGAAGTCACCAGGGAAGATATAAAGAGCCCTCCCGCAGCAGCCATGCCATACCCACGCAGCTGCCTCTTGCTCGCACTCAGGCTCCATGTCTCTTCTGGGCTATCCTGGACTTTGCAGTGCTACCTCCCATAGAAATCACTGCTACATCCCTGTGACTCCTTCCATCGCCATCTGCTCAGATGATGTAAACCCTGCCTTCAGACATTACTTACCAAGCAGCTATCAAGGCAATCTCTGGCTTCTGGACCATTGCCAAGACTCCTACTGTGAAGCACCTTGCTGTGAATCTCCCAGCCGTGAACCCAAGACTTGTGCTCCAGCTGGTGATCCCAGGAACTCCTGTGCGCCTTGCAATTCCCCATCTGTTAGTGCCTGCGAAACTACCAACATCAGATCCAGACCCAGCTGCAGTCCCTGTGCTGGGACCAAAGGGTATGTACCCGATTGCAGCACAGCTACTCGATTTGCATCTAAAGCCTGCCAAACTCCTCAAAATGGCTCCCACTTCATAGGGCAATTTAATTCCTTCCCGAAGAATCTCCAGAGCCAGAGTCACTGTGGTCTGGGAAACGGTGGATATAGAAGCTACAGAAATTTTGGATTCTTCACCAATGGCTTCTCCCCATCTTGTTATATTACCAATAGCTACCGACCACAAAGTTACCTAATGAGATATTGCCAGTATCCAAATTATGGGACTTCAAGCTTCCCACCACCGAGCTACTTATGTAGAAATTTTCAGTCTCTGAGCTATATACCTAGTACATTTCCACCTCTGAGATACTTGTGCAGCAGTAACAGACCTCTGAATTGCTACTGATGGACTTGCAGCTTGTACAAGGGCTCCGGATAGACTGGTGGAGAAGATCTTACTCGGTTCTAAGGTCTCTGATTCTGCTAAATTGATTTATTCATCTCAGAAAGGTCACTGCCCTGGCCTCAAGTGTAATCCTAGACCTGATTAACCACTCCATAGTTTGTGCTTTGGTTTGTACTCTCTCTCTCTCTCTCTCTCTCTCTCTCTCTATATATATATATATATATATATATATATATATATATATATTGATGATGATGGTAGTGTTTACTCTAAAACTGGCTAGAACGGACTCACTGAAGAGATTCCATATGCAGCATTTTTGCTCTGGATGTCACTTACCTGCCATGGTGGTGATCTTCTATCTTGGTTTAATGGTTGATTTCAACAGTTTGCTTAGATTGTTCTACTTCTCACCAATAACTTTTATTTTAACTGCCTGATGAGCATCTTGCCAATGAAGAGAGAAATAAAATTACCCTGAACACTGAATGGAGCCATTTTTTTCCTTTTCCTCCTGAGCAAATATCAACAGCAAGCTTAACTACTAAAGAGAAATCCTCAGCAGCTTTCTCTCTCAAAAATGACAGAAAGCACATAGTTGATTGAGAGTTGGAAGAAATCCTCAGAAGTGACTGAAACCCTGAAACCAAGTGATAAAACAAAGAAAAATAATGCTATTATAGATCCTCTATGACTCCTAGAATTCATCTATGTTCTGCATTCTTTTGTAATCCTGCTCCAATGGATTATGTCATTCTAATTCTAGAAAATGCCTTGATTCTTGGTTAATAAACAATTTTCTATCTGGAAACCACGGCTTCTCTTATCGTTCATGACATTTTCCCCGATGTTTTGTCCTCAATGAGCAAAGTGTGTATATCACTGTTAGTTGCTTGTTTTTTTACTTTTGTTTTTTAGATTTGGTTTATACACTAAGTTAAAATTTGTGAGGAAGGTTGAATATGAAATGATTTTTGTTTTGTTTTCTTTCTAAACATTCAATTTATTTGTCTTATAATGTCTGTGATTAATTTTCAAATAAAGAATTGTAGAAAGAATTTTTATAAATCAATTTAATAAAAGGTATATATTCTGTTTATGACAATAAAATAGATGCTATTTGAGAAGCTTAGTAACTAAATATGGAATCTTTTGAAAAGCGATTTTAGGCCTATAAACTTCTCATGCAGAAAATGAAACCTTCAATCTAGGTGGTAAAAATACTACAATAGATAGCCTAAGCATTTCTGTAGGTAAAGATTGAACCATGTTTAAAGGGAAATGTTTCATGGAGTTGTATGCAACAAGAGACTGGAAGATTTGGAAAGATCAATAGTACTGACAGCCAGTGTTTTATGTCTGGGGGTAAATCTCTAAGGTAGAGTGGTTGCCTGGCCTGAAGGGCTTTGAATTTTATTTTTAGCATTTCAAAAGTACTTAACATGTGTCTTAGTTAAGGTTTTATTGATGTGAAGAGACATCTTGATGAAGGCAACTTTTGTAGAGGAAATAATTTCATTGTGGTTGTCTTACAGTTCAGAGCTTTTAGTCCATTGTCCTCAAAGTGGGGCAAGCAGGTAGCCATGGTGCTGGAGAAGGAGCTGAGAATTCTACATCTGGATCTGTAGGCAGCAGGAAGTGATAATGACCTCAAAGCCCACCCCACCACCCCAGTGACACAGGCCTATCAATATGCCACACCCTCCAACAAGGCCACACCTCCCACTAGTGCTGGTTCCTAGGAGCCTATGGGGTCATTTTTATTCAAACTACTGCAATGTCCAAAAATACCTTTCAAACTGTACACATGGGACTAGCATTTTAAGTCAGCACATGTCTACTGTATATAGCAAAGGCTTCAGAAAGCATATCAATGCCTTGTTTTGCTTGAATTGTTTGGGTATGATGATATTCCTCATTCATGGGAGTGCCGTCAATCTTCAGAGAAGTCTATTCTGTGTTACAAAAAAATATTATCCTTAAGATCCAAATATTGACTATAGGCATAGGTGTCCAAGTCCTTGAAACAGTTTTCTGTGTTCTACCTGACTCTTCAGTAGTTCAGACTCTGCAAATTCTGAAGGTAAACCTGTTCTTTGAGCCACTCAGTGGGATCCTTTGAAGTCATGAAGATTTAGGGAGACTATTCTCAAGAATTGTTCAGTGGAAACAAACAGAACACTATCTCAACTCAACCATTTAACAACAATAGATGACTTTCAAAGGAGGGAGAGATCACTTCTAACTGGAAAAGTGACAGAACACTTCTGGAAGAACTGGCCTGGAGTGATGTCTGATCCTTTAAGTGACAGGGTTCTAGGTGCTCGTGGATGGATGAAGGATGTTGACGTGGCAAATTGATGTGAGCCCCAGTGGACTGGGCCTGACAGGAGGAGAGGCGCAAACACAGTGGGGGACACAGAGAGAAAAAACAGGCGACAGCGGATCAAAGGTCATGGATAGGAAAGGTTCTCTCAACTAAAAATAAGCAAATTATACAAGGTTTATAAATACGGCCTTGATAAAACTACAAGTGCCTAATAATGGAAGATAACATGTAAGAATGAAGGATGAAGGGAGGTGATGGAGCCTGCGAGGATGTTTTGCTCATCACCTTTCTGTAAACATTAAGAGAAAATAAATCTCAATTAATGAAGTGAAATATCTGAAAAGATAATGCAAACAAATTCCCGAGGCAGAAGTAAGAGAAAATATATTCCTTGTGCTCCGCAAATTTCCTTCCCAAACTACTTAATAACTCCAAAGTAGAGAAAAGCACAAATGTTTATTTAGATGAGAAACAAGCAAATAATGTGAACAGATAATTACTAATAATAATAAAAAAAACAAATTGCCTGTAAACTACTTAGTCTGATAGACTTCATTAGTAACTCTTCATTAAGAACACAAGATATTCTTGTTAGTATCTATTTGTCAAACATATATAAGTTCGTAGTATGTTGAGTTACAAATACCATTTCACAGGCTGCAGTAGGGGTGGCGATCAGTAGAGCCTGTGTGGATGGGCGGATCTGAAAGGCACCAACTGAATGTTGAAACAATTGCACATCTTAAAGTGTCTCCTGGGAAAGTTTACTGCCTACCTCAGCCTTCACTAGTAGCACCACGGAGGGTATTGCTGATTGCACAGTCTCTCCAATCATAAAGTGGGATCACCTTTGTTTCTTAATTCTATTTTCTTTTGTTTTAGATTGTTTAATTACATGTGGAAAATACAATTGTTAAGCCTAAGTTTTACTTATGAATCTGCAACTCCAAGTCTGAGACTCTCCCAAAGCTTCTTCACTTTGACTCAGGTCTTCCCAATGCAGTTGCTTCCAGAACCCACTGCCTCTCTTTCTGTAGTTGCCCATACCTGTCATCATTCGAAGCCCACCAATACAGCATGGAAAACTCCAGAAAGAAACAAGTGATAAGCTTTATGCTGAACACCACCACTATGAGTCATGAAATAAACCGTCAATCTGTCCTTCTTGGGACGCCACCTCACTGTCTGGCAATCTGTGTGGTGCAGGGGACTTCTTGTTAGTCAGGAGCCTGCTTACGTGTCAGACTACCAGAGCGTTGCAGAACTTAAGCATCCCTAAAAGCAAGAACAGTGATATAGGAATTTTGTTAGTGTACACTGCTTTCTGTATTAATGCTATCAGTGATTTATGCACCTGGTTTATAAATTAAATTTCATATTACTATGTAGATGTAAGGAAATACATACTAAGCGCAGCATCTGGTGTTAGCCGAGGCTTCAGGCATCCCTTAGAAGTCCTGGGATTTAACCCTATCAATAAAGCAGTACTGTTGTATTCTTTTCAGCATTACCCTGACACTGCCAAGTAAAAGAAAACTCAATCTACCTACTTAAAAAACAATTTAGGAAGAAGAAGATGAGAAGTCCATTTATGAGAGACTGTCAACTAAAGTATAATCTAGTTATGTTACATAAACATTTGACAACTAAAAGTAGTGGTCTACACCAGTATAAAAATATGTGTTGTGGCATACTTTACACCGCATAAATAAACATTTCCTTCTATAACATATATCATCTAATTAATATAACATAATATATCAATTCAAATCAACTAACGTGAAATAAAAGTAAAGACATGTCAGCCTTGGGGAGGGAGAAATTTTAGACTAAGAGTTGAAGATTCATTAAGAAAGTTTCAAGCCTGATCATTTATACTTTATGCTTGCCATTAAAGTTTATAAATAAAGGAAAGTAGTTCTAAAAAGTAAAGTTGATACCTGCCTCTGATTGGAAAGAATATGTAATTAGCAGTACTCTATGTCATGCTGTTAATGACAATATGAATTCAAAAGTGAAACAGGTCCCTGATACATAAAAAAAAAACCATGTGATGAGTCTCATTTGCATGGTAAACAACAACAATGGCATAGGCCTTGTCTCTGCCCTCAGGAGGAAGAGGTAGCTGAGCTGAGGGTTCAAAGGCAACCTGGTTACTTAGTGAGACTCTACGTTAAATTAGTAAATAAAAGTAAAATGATATTAAATTTTCTTCATTTGAGAAACAAAGATCATAAATCTATAATTATTTATTAGAGGAAAGAACATATACTTTGAGCACAGAATTCTTTCTTTCAAGGAATAATTCTGGTGCAAATAATTGCACATTTGGATAATGGACTATTTTGTCATCTGGAATGTAATCACTGAGAACAGAAGATTATAAATCATGCTAACATAGAGTCTGTTCTTTCCTATTACTATGTATATTTGTGCCCAAGTTTATAAGGGATAAACATCTTCTTTATTTTAATTTATTTCTCTCATATTGGGTAGCACAGTGTCCTATGTTAGAAGAATTGAGTGTAGTGTGAATATTGAGTAACTTCAAACACTTCTTGTCAACTGAAAGATGAGGAGAAATATTCAAAGTGATTTGTTCGCTAATTGTAAAGCAAAGAGGTCATAATTGATCTTGAGTATGAATTCTGCATCAGCACATTTATGCTTGCACAAGTCAAGCTGTCATGTAACTGTCTCACAGAGTAAGTGGTCTTTAGCGACTGAAGGCTATGTGGATTATAAACACTGTGAACAGACAGAAAACTCAGCAAAGCCAACAGCTTTGGTTCTATAGAGGATATGATGAGGACAGTATTTACTT